CAAAGCATTCTAAATCAAAAAATTTTGTATGTTTTTTATTGCTGCAACAGTGGTAGAAGTGCTAACCAACATTACTGTGGTTAATGAATATATTATTAAGAAAGAAAGAGCTCCAAAAATGGTGGAAATGTCGATTTTACATGATTTTAACCACAAAATAGCTCCAAAAGGGGGGTGGTCCAAATCATGGCACGCTTCGCCCGTCATTTTATTTTACAACAGCCCTATTTCAAAAATCCTGGATCCGCCCCTAGTACATGTATTATACCGCATTTTAATTGACCAATCAGAACACTAAACAAGTGGTTATAATAGCTTTTACTATACATGTGCATGTACATGTATATGTAGTATTTACATGTTCATCATCTCAACAGTAAGAACTGCTGCTACTGCTGGACCACTGAACTCACCAGTAAAAGTAAAGTTGCTTTCCATAACTACAGTATCTAATTTCTCCTAATAACTATAATACTTGCTTATATCTTGCGCTACTCTATTACAAGGCACTATTATTTACTATGATAAAAGATTAGCCATATTTGATAGCAGGAAAAGGCAAAGTGGAACTACTGTATCAAAGGCATGATGTCACAATTATGTCATATGTAGAGAAACAGAAAAAGCAACATAAAAAACAAAATCAATAGATTAATAACTAAGAGAACCTAAAGTATACAAAAACTAGTGTCCAACATCAATTGCTACAACCACACATTAATGAATGAATTAACAGCATGCACAATAAAAGAGAAGAGGACAGCGTGAAGCAAGAACACTCTTAATCTCAGGCCTGAAGTATGACTGGATAATAGGATTGGCTATTGTGATAAAAAGAGACATATTGTACTAGAAATATAAAGTTTAGGAGGTACATCAACATACAACACAAATCCCATAGACTAGTAACATGCTTCTAAATATTTCTAAGAGTCTCTTCTTTCTTTGAAGCATACACACTTTCTCCTGCTATCACTGACTGAGCTTTGAAGTAGCTTCTTGTAAAACAAAAGGTCCATAATAATGTCACAATGATAATTGCAGTTGTAACACACAGAAGGAAAACAGAAATGATAATGAGACTGCATCATGCTGTTAAACCACTGGTAGCATACAAGAAACTGTTCATCATAAACATATTCATTTAATCCAATAAATGGACCACAGCTAAATACAGCAGACAGTATCCATATAGCAATGGTGAGGGTCAGTACTACCCAGGGTCTCATGAACCGCTTGTGAAGATGTGGTTTGACAATAAAAAGAAACCGATCAAACAATATAGTAGCTAGTGTATTAAATATGATAGTGAAAGGAAGGTACAGTAGATTCAATACAAGATGTGCCAGTATGAGAGAAGTGAAGAATATTGTTGATGATTGTTTCCAGGACTTCCTTTGATAGAGTGCGATAGATAGTACCACACCATTAGCTAGTATGATATAAACAGTAAGAACTGCTGCTACTGCTGGACCACTGAACTCACCAGTAAAAGTAAAGTTCTCTGCCATTCCTACCCATAGAAGTGGATA